TGTCTCCAAACCACTGGTTGCTGGTCCCTGTAAAAAATGATGTGCTGAGACGGGAGGAAGAAAAACTAGGCAACGTGGATGTAAGAACTCGAGGGTAGAGCTCTCTAGATCCTGCTGTGTTTGGGAACAGCTCTCCATACGTGTCTTGTAGTTGGTAGACTCCAGGTTGGTGATGGGGACTTTGTAAGGTTTTACAATGAGTATATTCTGTTTGGGAAGGCAGGGAGGTAAGTGGTGTTGCTACTTATGGGCTCGGGTCTTAAGCTGTTTAGGACGACGTTGCTCCGCAAGAAGGACTTGTTCTTCTGTAGCTTCCTGTAGCTGCTCCCTTCCAGACTTTGGGACCCCAGCATACCCCAATGCCTAGAGGGTGGCGGGCATTTGATGAGCAGTTGGTAAATATCTGTTGAATGAATGAATGAATGGATTCATCACAGAGGGGGAGACCCAGTTAACGATGAGGCAACAAGGAGCAGCTTCCATTCTTGTCACATTAACAGATGTCCTGGTGTAATCACTAGACAGCACTTCACGTAATAGCCGCGAAATTGTGTTTAGGTAAATGGCCTTGGAAGTAGAGCACAGTTCCCTAGATGCTTGTTCATGGAAAACTTGATTTGAAAAGATTTTAGTGAGTGTATTCTCATTTTTAGCCCTGCCCATTGTGAAATATCAGTCTGTTTTTCGTGCTTTGGCATGGCCCATCCAGAAGATTTGTTTCCTGGCCCCATCCATCCCCCATGCACATATCCGCATCCATCCACACATCCGTCCATCCATCCATCCATCCAGCCAGCCAGCCAGCCAGCCAGCAAACACATTTGTGGAGTGCCTGCGTTTTGGGGATGGAGGGAAGAGAGAATGGTATCCAGGTGAACACAGCTGGTCTCTGCCCTTGGGAGTGCTCAGTCTGAAGCAGGAATAAGACAGGAACATGGGCAGCTATGGTGCAGTGGGATAAGTGTGTATGTAATGAAGGCATGGGCCTGCTTGTGGGAACCCAGAAGAGGGGCACTTACTGCCCTGGAGCGAACGGAGAGAGTAGAGCTGGGGAAGCTGCCGAAGGAGGGAATGTTTGGGCCAGTAAGCCCGAGATGACAGCTTGTGGGCTGCTAGGGGCTGCCCCGAGTCAGATGTCCTGGCTGGCAGTGCAGACGAGTTATCTGGAACATTCTCAGTTTTGAGAATGGACACTCTGTGGGCTGGGAGGAGTGAAAGATGGTTGATTCATGGGCTGTGGTCTTGACCCTCCTATCTTCAACCTGCCTTTAACTCCCTGGGACCTCTGTTTCAAGGACCCTTCTGTTCATTCCAGCCCTCATAATTTCACCAGATTCTTTTTAGAGCAGGAAAGGGCCATTGGGAATTCTCTTTTCCAGCAGAAAAGACCAAAGAGCATACTTGGAGGGAGGAAGGTGAGTGGGGGGAAGTGTTTATAGGTGAGTAAAAATAGTGTCTCCTCTCCACCAGACCCTGCTGTATGCCACCCCCAAGTCCAGCTGAGTGAGGGTCTGTCAGCAGAGGAGCCAGTCTGGCATTGGCAGAAGGGACTCACTGCCCCTAGAAAGGTTCTTTTCCTAACCGCCACCTTGAGCTCATTCTAAATTAAGAGCCACTTTAGAAAGACATCAGAAAAGTAAAATTTGGAATGACCTAGACAGAAACTTGGGCTAACCTCCCTCATTTTACATGTGGGGAACTGTGCTTTTTCAGTTCATACTCTGAGAGTGTTAAAATTACATACCTGGATGGTAAGCCCTGAACCAAAATAGACCCAGGTGGGGAGCAGGTTGGATTTGGGGTCATTTGAGTTTTGTTGGCCCTGTATATTCAGGGCGCCATGGCCACGTCTGATTTGCAGCGGCAGGGGAAGTCCAGGATGACTGTATGGTTTGGGGGAAATTATGAATTGCTTAAGGTTGGAGTTAATGGTGTATCTGGGACTAGAGCACAGGTCTCTTGCTTTCTCCCAGCGTAGTTCTTTCTGCCACATCCTGCTGCTAAAGCTTTACTCTAACTATTTTTTTCCCACTAGGAAACCCACTAATGAAGCATTGGCACCGTGATAATAGGTGTTGCATGGGGCCAATAGCACTGGATAGTAATTGGAAGAAATACATCCAGAAGATGGATTATTATGGGCAAGGAGGAAGAGTGCCAGAATTGTGATTTTTTTTTTTTTTTGAAATTGTATTTGCTGCCTAACAACTGCCAAAAGACCAGTGTTAAAAAAAAACTTGGGAAGAAAACCATCTATAGTTTCTCCATGCTAACACAGCTGTTTTAGTTTTTGCCAATTTCCTGTTTTTATCAAGTAGTCCATGTACAGTGCATACGTATTTTTATGTAGTTGGGATCACAGCTTTCTATTAACAGAGTTAAGTACTGTGTTTACTTAACGTTTCTCATAAGAATTTTCCATATTTCGGTCTCATCTTCATAATTCTTTTTCGTTATGGCCGAATAGTATTCTGGAGTGCTGGTGGGCCCCAGTGCTGTGTTCTGTGATTGGAGTTTCAGTTGTTCTTCTTTTTGCCCTCCCGTGATCCTGCCTATTTCTCCAGTAGATTAATTTATAGAGAACACCACTGCACGTCAAGTCTTCTGCTTCTGTTGAATTGATACCTTCAGAGGAGTATTTCCAGGAAGGAAAGAGACTGTAATTCATTGATGTAGTTTTGATTTTTTTTTGTTATTGTTGTTTATTTGTATAACGTAAGTACAGATGTACACATAAAACAAAGGTACAGTTTAATGAACTACTAGAAGGTAGACAGACACCCTTGTACCACTACCCACGTCAAAAGCTGGAACCCTGCCAGCCAGCCAGAAGTCCACCGTTGCCCCCTCCCTGTGCCCCCTCCAAGCCCCAAGAGCAACGACTGCTCTGACTTTATTACAGTCACTTCTTTACTATCTTTCCAAGTTTGCTCACCCAAGTGTGCATCCCTAGATATTTCAAGTTAAGTTATCCTTTTTTAAAAAAATGTCTTTTAAAGCTCTTTTAATATGTAGGTGTTCCCTCCATCTCTTCTCTTCCCTATAGTCTGTTGGTTGAAGAAACTAGGTCATTTGTCCTGAGGAGCTTCTAGAATTTTCCACAGGCTGGATCTCACCAATTGCAGTCCCATGTAGTTTAGAACATTCCTCTGCATTTCCTACAGTTGGCAGTTGGATCTAGTGGTTGAATCAGTCCCAGGGTTGATTTTTTTTTTTTTTCCCTGTGGAAAGAGAGGTGTGGGGAGCAAGATTATATCTTGGGTGGTGGGACGTTCTTCATGGCGAGGTACATAATGGTTGTCTGTCTGTCTCCTGTTGCGATGTTAGTAGCCACTGGCATCCAATGCTTAGAGCCTGCCATTCATTAGAAGTTGCAAAATTGTGATATTGCAGTTCTGTTGTTCCTTCTTCATTTATTTGCTGGAATACTACTATAAAGAAAAACTTGGCCTCTCTACTATTTTTAATTGTTTATTTATAGAGATTCACATACCATACAGTTCACCTATCTGAAGCATGCAATCTAGTGGTCTTTAGTATTTTCGTAGAGTTGTGCATCAATCACCACAATTAATTTTAGAACACTTCATTAACCTCCAAAAAATCCTACTCATCTTCACTGTCACCCCGCAAACCTGGCAGCCCTAAGCAATTACTAATCTAATTTCTGTCTGTAGATTTACTGTTCTGGACATTTCAAATAATATGTGGTCATTTGTCACCAAGTTCTTTCACTTAGTATAATGTTTTCAGTATCCATTGATGTTGTAGCATGTATCAGAACTTTATTCCTTTTTATGGCCAAATAATATTCCATTGTATGGATGTACTGCGTTTTGTTTATCCATTCATCAGTTGATAGACATTTGGGTTGCTTCCACTTTTTGGCTATTAGGAATAATGCTGCTGTGAACATTTTTGTACCAGTTTCTGTGTGAGCTTAATGTTTTCATTTTTCTTGGATATCTACCTGGAAGTGTCATTGCTGGGTCAAATGGTAACTCTAGGTTTAACCATTTAAGAAACTGCCAGACTGTTTCCTAAATCAGCTACACAATTTGACATTCCTGTCAGCAGTATAAGAGGGTTCTAGTTTCTCCAACATTGGTTATCTGTCTTTTTTATTATAGCCCTCCTAGTGGGTGTGAAGTGTCTGATTGTGGTTTTGATTTGCATTTCCCTGATGAGTAATGATGTTGAGCATCTTTTCATATGCTTATTGGCTGTTTTTCTATCTTTGGAGAACCATGTATCTATCTATCTATCTATCTATCTATCTATCTATCTATCTCTATTTCCTTGACCTAATTTTTAATTGAATATATGTCTTTTTATTATTGAGTTGTAGTAATTCTTTGTATGTTCTAGATAGAAGTCCCTTGTCAGAAGTATGATTTGTAAAATTTTCTCCCATTCAGGGTTGTCTTTGTACTTTCTTGATATCTTGGTGTTCTTTGAAGCATAAAAGTTTTACATTTTTGATGATGTCCAGCTTGTTTTTTCTTTTGTTGCTTGCACTTTTGGTGTTTTATCTAGGAAACTGTTGCCTAATCCAAGGTCATGAAGATTTGTGTGTGTGTTTTATTCTGAGTTTTGTAGTCTTAACTCTTACATTTAGGTCTTTGATTCATTTTGAGTTAATTTTTGTATATGTTGTCATCTGCTCTTTGGTTACCCAGTGCTACAGCTAAAGGCAGGATCAATGCTTGATTTTTTTTCCCATTCATTTACCATTTATCGTAATAAGTCATTGGTTCCCTAATCATCCTATGAAGTTGTAGTTTGGTGCGTTTTTCTTGTCATTATGTATGTATGCTTAGATTTCATCATGAGTTTGTATTATAATAAAAATAATTACATTTTAAAAAATTTGTGTACTGTGACACATGTATGCAATAGAGAGAGAAAAGTGATTTTGTGGTTTGTTTTTTTCTTTTTTTAATCTTGTTTCTTATCCAGTTGTCACATCCTAAATTTTCATCTACCCACTTGTCTTCCAGAAACATGCCAAAGGCCAGGATTTGTTTGATCAGATTGTGTACCACTTGGACCTGGTGGAAACAGATTACTTTGGCCTCCAGTTCCTTGACTCTGCCCAGGCTGCGGTATGTATGCCTTTGATTCCTTACAGGATGGATTGGCTTTTCATGCTAATCACAGATCCACAGTTGCTAGAAATTGGTAGAGAAAAACAGGAGTAAAACTGTGATATTGTTGCAGTAAGGAGCATGGGGATGGAGGTGCTGGCACCCATGTGAGATGATGCATCCGTGTTGCCCCACCCTGGAGATGGCCAGTACCTGCAAAAGGAAGAGGAAGATGTGTTCCTGTTACACATGGGGATGCACTAGGGGAACCTTTCCAAGCATAGGGATGCAGTGTGGGCACATCTCTAGAGTAGGTAGAGAGAAGAAATATCATTATAGAAATTCTTTTAAGGATGCTGCTTGTATTTAACCAGCAGAAGAGGCTGTGCTACCCTCCTCTCCCGGACTCTTGCCAGGTGTAGCAAGCAGGTGCTGTGAGCACAGCTGAATTGCAGCCGGGCTTAGTGGGCTCAGGGGCTGGGCAGTCGGAGCGGGTCTTGGCATTGCTCGAGAACCATCTTGCAGCCTCCAGCAGGTTGCGTTAGGTCAGCAAAGACTTCCCCTGCTTTGCCTGAGACAGAACTGTGTGCAGTGGAGGTGCTCAAGTACGTGAACTCGACACAGCTCAGAACCACTCTTTCATTTATTTTAATTTCTTTATTTATTTTATAACTGACCTACAGTACTATGTTAGTTCCTGTTACACAATGTAGTAATTCAGTATTTCTGTACATTTCTAAATGATCACCCTGAAAGCCTATTTACTACCCATCACCGTACAGAGATATTACCGTATTACTGACTGTATTCTCCACACTGTACATTTCATACCTGTGACTCACTTATTTTCCAACTACTAGATGTTTGTATGTCTTAATCTCCCTCACCTATTTCTATCTCCCTCCTTCCCCCCCGGCAACCACCTGTTTGTTCTCTGTATCTGTAACTCTGTTTCTGTTTTGTAATGTTTGTTCATTTGTTCTGTTTCTTAGATTCCACGTATAAGTGATATCATACCATGTTTGTCTTTCACTATCTGACTTATTTCACTTAGCATAATACCCTCTAGGTCCCTCCATGTTGTCACAAATGGCAAGATTTCATTTTTTTTTTATGCATGAGTAATATTCCATTGCGTATGTATTATAGATACCACATCTTCTTTATCCATTCATCTATTGATGGGCACTTGGGTTGCTTCCATATCTTGGCTATTGTAAGTAACAGTGCAACGAACATAGGGGTGCATATATCTTTTCTAATTAGTGTTTTTTTCCTTTGGATAAATATCTAGGAGTGGAAGTGCTGGATCATATAGTAGTTCTATTTTTAATTTTTTGAGGAACCTCCATACTGTTTTCCATAGTGGCTGCATCAATTTACATTCCTACCAACAGTGCATGAGGGTTTCCTTTTCTCCACATCCTTGCCAATACTTGTTATTTGTTGTGTTTTTGGTAATAGCCATTCTGACAGGTGTGAGGTGATAGATACCTCGTTGTGGTTTAGATTTGCATTTTCCTGATGGTTAGTGATATTGAGCATCTTCTCATGTTTCTGTTGGCCATCTGTATGTCTTCTTTGGGAAAGTGTCTATTCAGATCCTCTGCCCATTTTTAAATAGGATTGTTTGGGTTTTTTGATGTTGAGTTGTATGAGGCCTTTGTATATTTTGGATATTAACCCCTTATCAGATGTATCGTTTGCAAAGATTTTCTCCTGGTCAGTAGGTGGCATTTTCATTTTGCTGATAGTTGTCTTCACTGTGCAAAAGCTTTTTAGTTTGGTGTAGTCCCATTTGTTTATTTTTGCTTTTGTTTCCCTTGCCTGAGGAGACATATACAAAAAATATTACTAAGACCACTGTCAAAGAGCATACTGCCTATGTTTTCTTCTAGAAGTTTTATGATTTCAGGTCTTACATTTAGGTCTTTTATCTATTTTGAATTTATTTTTGTGCATAGTGTGAGATAAAAGTCCAATTTGATTCTTCTGCATGTAGCTGTCCAGATCTCCCAACACCATTTATTGAAGAGACTGTCTTTGCCACATTGTATATTCTTGCCTCTTTTGTCATTGATTAATTGATCATATAAATGTGGGTTCATTTCTGGGCTCTCTATTCTGTTCCATTGACCTATGTGTCTGTACCATACTGTTTAGATTACTGTAGCTTTGTAGTATAGCTTGAAATCAGGGAATGTGGTACCTCCAGCTTTGTTCTTTTAAAAAGCAGGAAAGACTTCAGGGTCTCCCTTCCCAACAAAATCTAGCTTTGGGTTTCAAAGAGAATTTATTCAGGAACCTAAAAGTATTTATTAAGTGCCTGTTATGCACTGGGTCCTGTTCCAAGCAGTGGATAATGCAGTGGATAATGCAGTGGATGTATGTAATACCTATGTAACATGACTGGTGGTAATAAGTGTTAAGAAAAATAAAGCAGAGTGAGGTGTTAGACAAAGTAAAGGGAGGGTGAGGGAATAGACAGAGTAAGGGGCAGTGCTATCTTAGACAGAGTATGAAAGGGTGAGTTCCCTGGTAGAAGATGTTTGAGCTGAGACCTGGAGCTCCTCATCTGTGGCTAAGCCTTTCTACCTGAAAGACACTTTTTAGTGACTTCTGGGGGGCTACCCATGATGGTTGTAAGGAGATGCTCAAAGTCGATGCCTGGAAATTGGATCTGCCTGAGATGGTTACTGTGATGCTCAGTCTGCAGTGATAACGGTGGAGCCAGGACTTAAGTGCGCCCGGGCTACAGTGCCTGCTGGGCAGACACTCCCCTCTGCTCCCACTGGATGGCCCCTCTACACCACTGACTTCCTCTCCACTTTCAGGACCTCCTGTCTGCTGACAGCCCACTACCCCACCCCCCGACTGTTGCCACAAACACCCCAGCTGCCTCCTTGAGTTCGTGGTCCTGATTCCTTCCTGTGAGCCGGAGACTCTCACTCTGGCCACTGTGGCCCTGAGGAGGGCAGACCAGCTTTTCCCTGTCCCCTCCCCCGTGCAGTTCTGCTTCCTTTGAGGTTGGACTGCCCAGTGCTGTGCCCTCCGACCTCAGCGCTCTCCTTCCCATCCTTCAAGGCCTCTGGTGCCTGTTTTTCTCTTCCCTGGGCAACCTCAGAACTCAAATTGCTGACCCCTCTAAACATTCCAGACATGGTTTCCTCTCACTGAAGCTTCGGTTGAGCAAACCTCACACGGATGCACTTCTGGTCCTTTCACCACCGCAATCACTCCAAGATCCGGAATTCTGTCATTTCTCAACCCATGACAACGTCCCGTGATCGCGTCCTTCCAGTTCTTCTACATGTGGCCTTGGCCCACGACAACTCCTCCTACTCTGTCCTTCCTCCCGGCCTGGCGAAGCTCAGCTGTCTCACCTGTGTCCCCTCTTGCCCTTTGATTCTCCTGCTCCCCTGACTGTCCCCTGGCCTCCCTTTGACACACACGCACGCCCATATGCTTCCTCTGCTGCTTCTCCCGGGCTGCCAGGCGTTGCTGGAGAGCCACGGGCTGTGCGTTTTGGCACCAGCACAAATCACAGATCACAGGTTCAGCAGAGTCCAAGCCCCCGAGCTGTTCTTGGAGCCTCATTATCCCCCAGTGGACTCTGGGGGTTAATCCCAACTCTGGAATGCCCCAGGGTTCCCCTCTGACTCTGGATCACAGGCCCGTAGTCCAGTTCCCACAAAGACTGGTCTCATGGTTGGCCTTGCCACCTACTGAGAAGACCGAGTCATTTAGCTGAAACGCCTTGAGTTTTCTTCCCTGCATCTCAAAGTTTCTCTTTTCTCCCTGTCCATCCTTTTTACTACTTTGTTTTAAGGGAGTTTGCCTGTTTCTCCAGCATTTACTCACTACACCTGCGTCAGAGTTCCATTTCCGGTTGCTTCCTGGGTGCTGAGTTCAGAGTCCTCCTTGCTGTCCCCAGCATCTGACACTTGCCAGCCCTCCTCATCCCGGAAACTCTTCTCTATTCTGCTTCTCCTGTTGTCCTAACGTGTGGTATCTTTGGCTTCAGATTGTTTATGGCCCTGGACTGAGTCAGACCTGGACCTTACTCTTGGTTCTGCCCCAACTCATTTGATGGGCTTTAGATAAGCCACCTTTTCTCCCTTGGGCTCAGTTTCCTCATCTGTAAAATGAGGTTCTTTTATTTATTTACTTATTTTTGGCTGTGTTGTTTCTTCATTGCTGCGTGGGCTTTCTCTAGTTGCGGCGAGTGGGGGCTGCTCTTCGTTGCAGTGCACGGGCTTCTCATTGCGGTGTCTTCTCTTGAAGAGCACAGGCTCTAGGCCTGCGGGCTTCAGTAGTTGTGGCTCGCAGGCTCTAGAGCGCAGGCTTAGTAGTTGTGGTGCACAGGCTTAGTTGCTCCACGGCACGTGGGATCTTCCCGGACCAGGGATTGAACCTGTGTCCCCTGCATTGACAGGTGGATTCTTAACCACTGCGCCAGCAGGGAAGCGCCTGTTTTTTTTTCTTTTGACCACCCCAGGCAGCATGTGTAATCTTAGTTCCCCTACCAAGGATCAAACCCGCGCCCCCTGCAGTGGAAGCATGGAGTCTTAACCACTGGACTGCCAGGAAAATCCCTAAAATGGGGTTCTTGGACCTGTTCTCCCAAGAGCTCTTCTAGTTCTAATGTCCAGTGATCTGAGTCTAAAGAAGAGGCAGGCGTGTCTGCCCCACAAATCTTCTCTAGTCAGGGAGAAGGTACCTGTTATTTCTGCCATTAGAGCCAAGTACCTGTTGTTCTGGTGGCATGTCCTCATCCCCAGGCGACTGCTTTCCAGCCACACGGGTTCCCAGAAAGCCGAGGATGTGACTCCACTATGAAAGGCTCTGCGGTGAGCCTCTGCTCACTTGGCTGCCGGGCTTTCCCGTCCACTGGTGCCCTGGCCCTGTACAGCGGGAGGGATGTTCACGGTGAGATCCAGGCGTCCTTCCCAGGCCATACACCTGCAGACGCTCAGATTCTGCAGGTGCTAAAGCCTTTCAAGCATGCAGCTCTGTGA